TGGAATTATTAAGCAAGTGCTGGAAGATGTTCACCTATGCCAGTACAGGTTATGGCTAGTTTTTATTTTATGAAGGGGAAGAGAGGACTTAGAAAGGAGCAGGCTAAATATTTTGGAGCAGGCTAACTCAGCCGTTTGTATCTCATAGGGTTTCTTTTCAAAAAATGGAAAGGGAAATGAATTTGTTTATGGATTGCTTCACCTTCACAGAAATATTCCTGGTTGGAAAATAGACTTTCATATCACTCTACATCTATCACCACATTAGAAAATGGATTTATTTTCCCTTCAGAGATGTCCTGGGAACATGTTTGTACAAGTGTGTCTGTGGGGTACTGAGGTTAAGTGGTTCAACGGGTGAAAACCCAATGGGGAAGAGTTTTATAAAAATCCATGTAGATGAGAAAAATTCTCTATCCAAATATCCTTTTTAGTGAATCAAATCACTTGATATTTCCGATTGTTTCCTCATCTTTAAAATAAAGTTAAACTACATCAGGTATGAGTTTGTTTTGTAGAGGGTAATATGAGAAAAGAACTAAGCATACATATATGGGCCATGTTTTAAAATTCAAAGTATAAGCCAAGCGCAGTGGTTCACACCTATAATCCTAGCACTTTGGGAAGCCCAGGTGGGAGGATTTGCTTGAGGCCAGGAATTTGAGACCAGCCTGAGTCAATCTAGTGAGACCTCACCTCTATAAAAAATAGAAAAATCAGCTGGGCGAGGTGGCAAACGCCTGTAGTCTCAGCTACTACAGGGCTGAGGAAGAAGGCTGAGGTGGAAGGATCGCTTGAGCCAAGCAGTTCAAGGTTGCAGTGGGCTATGACCCCACCACTGCACTCCAGTCTGGGCAACAGAGGGAGACACTATCTCTAATTTAAAAAATAATAACATAAAAAAATAAATTCACCTGTAATCCTAGCACTCTGGGAGGCCGAGGCGGGTTTATCGCTCAAGGTCAGGAGTTCCAAACCAGCCTGAGCAAGAGACCCCATCTCTACTAAAAATAGAAAGAAATTAATTGGCCAACTAAAAATATATAGAAAAAATTAGCTGGGCATGGTGGCGCATGCCTGTAGGCCCAGGGGAGGCTACTGGGGAGGCTGAGGCAGGAGGATCGCTTGAGCCCACAAGTTTGAGGTTGCTGTGAGCGAGGCTGATGCCATGGCACTCTAGCCCGGGCAATAGTGAGACTCTGTCACAAAAAAAAGTAAAATAAAATAAATTCAAAGTCTAAATAGCTTTATAGAGATTTATGGAAAATAGTCTAACTAGAATTTAAAAACACTACTTAGAAATTTGGCACTGCTTTTTAGCCATTAAAACACTACAATCTGGACTTTTTTTTTCAAACTTGTAACTTTCTGATCTTAGCCCTTAATAGCCAGGCATTTTTCCAGATGCTTTACATGTATTAACTCATTTAGTTTGAGGAGGTAGGCACTATTCCTAACCCTACTTTCCAGGGAAGAAAACTGAGGTATTAAGAGGTTAAATGTAATAATTTGCTCAAGGAGTTCAAGCTGGGAAACGCAGGCAGTCTGGCTCCAGGGCTGGTGCACTTACTGTGTGGGAGGGGAGAGGAATGTCAGAATTAACCAATAGATTGGATTGTTTATTTGTGTGTGTTTAAAAGAATATCATACCCCTAGAAGGCACTCAGAATACAAATATTTGGAGAATTCATGAATCCAAAACCATTTCACTAACCAAAGGAGCAGCATTGGTTTAATACACCAGAAAAATCTTTCAGATAAATTAATGTGAAGTCAATATGTAAATGTTTTAGGAAGATTAATGCATATTTTAAGGACTTGGTGGCTTATTTGTTACATATTTGGAATATTTTTAATTGAAAGCCTTAAAATATAGTAATAGAGCTGAGAACATACCCCTCTCCCTCCAAACATTTTTTAGCTTTTCACTTGTTTTTCAAAGTCTTCATTCTTTTTTTAAGCAAAGTGAGACACTGTTAAGCCACAAATTTTGCTTCAAATTTCATTGGCTTTCCTCTAACATTTCAAATTATGGCTTGAGTTTAGAATCATAGCACCTGGGGGTGGGAAGGCCTCCATGGACCTCCAAGGACAGCCTTCCCGAAATGTAGGAATGTCTTCCGTGAGATCTTTGCCTCATTTTTCTAAGCTCACAGACAAGCCCACGAAATGACAGGTTTACAGCCTGGATTTGAAAAGTCATTTCCTGTGCGTCTGTAATATTTTGGTACCCAGAGTCTGGAACTCCTCTTTCTTTCCCTGTGTTTACCATTTTCTGGAAAAGAAGAAACAGGATTTGGTGCATATCATTGAGGTAAAAGTGTAGCTCTTTTCCTGGCATAATTACCTGTGTCTGTTTCTAAATGGGACCCAAATCCTAGCAACCTTCCCTGGCACACTGGAGAGTTTGCATTAACGTTTTAAATTTAGAATTCCCAAGGGAAACTGCAATGAAATAACAGAACAATCCCTTCCAACTGAGGAGGTGATGTGTCTGCCAGAAAAGCCACAAGCAGGCCGACTCAGAAATAACTCCCCTGAACTCACCGCCCCCCAGTCCAGAGCGATTTCAAGACCCTGTTGCTTGTTTTTGGTAGTTTTTTAGTTTGGAGACATATGCATGTACCTACACATGCCCACGCCCTGAGGTGTCCTGTAATTGTCAATAGGGTCTTTCCTTCCTTTTTTTTTACCATGTTCTGCCTTAAGGCCTTCCCTTCCTACCCTGTTCTGAGCTGCCAAAAGTGGCCTAAAAGCCTTAGCGGTAAATTTCTTCCCTAAAGTCTGGAATCCAGATGTCAAATCTATAAGGCATAAGCTCTTTTCTTTTTTCTTTTAATTTAGGCTTGATTACTTGAGCTCCAAGTTCCCTCACCCTTGCCTCCCTCCATACCAAACTAATTAGGGCAATTATCTGAGCCATCCACTGCCACAGATCAGTTAAAGCCTGTTATTGAGGTTAACAAATGAGAGGGTTAATTTTTCCTGACTGCTCCATAGTTGGGGAAAAAAGATAACAAGCCCTTACATTTGTCAGGTGCTTTTGAGTTTTCCAACTCTCCTCTCTAACCAAGCTGCCACCTGGGCTTACTTTGGGGTTCCAGAGTGTCTGGAACCCTGGGTAAATGATTTCATTCTGATCACTGGAAGCACTGGAATCCACTGCTGTACATAAACGAGGCTCCCCAGTGTTGATGCTTCAATGGGTAAAAAAGACTGGATTTATTTTAAAGAAATGAGATTGTCATTTTTCTAATGCCTCTGGCATCAACTTGGAGATGTTGACTTAAGACCTTAGTAAGCAGCTTTTTCTAGATAATTTGACCAATGTTCTGTGTATTTTTAACTTTCTTAGAAATTGCTGAATTTCTCCAGTCACCCTGCCTAATTATGAACTGCTTACGTTTTTCTATTCTTTTCCCCCTTTTGTTTCCACTGTAACAGTAAGAAGGCTATCCTATGTCTCTCTTGCTGGATAGCTAAATCAGAGTTTCTAATTTGCCCTGAAGGTTTATTTTAGATCACAAAGACCAGCGCTGAATTTTTTTTAAGCCCAAGAGAGTAAGTGGAGAAGGATTAGTTTTTCTTGGCATTACCATGATTTCAATCCATTTTTCCAATAGAGATCTGTGAAAATTTCATGAACAATGATGAAGAACAGGTTTTTAATTGCCTCACAGAAGTGCCAAAAGTAAGGAAAAAATCCATATATTGCAGAAGCACAGGAAATAAAACATTATAGCCTGAGTAACACCGCAAAACAATGTCTATACAAATGATAGAAAAATTAGCTAGGTGTAGTGACACCCGCCTATAGTCTCAGCTAGCTTATTCAGGAGGCAGGAGGGGCGCCAGAACCCAAGCATTCAAGGTTGTAGGGAGCTGTGATGGAGGTGTTAGGTACTGGTAGATAGCGAGGTATTCTAGGTCTCCTAGGGATGAAAATGGGTGTCTTAGCCAGGCACGGTGGCTCACGCCTGTAATCCTAGCACTCTGGGAGGCTGAGGCGGGCAGATTGCTCAAGGTCAGGAGTTCGAAACCAGCCTGAGGGAGACTCTGTCTCTACCAAAAATAGAAAGAAATTAATTGACCAACTAAAAATATATATATATACAAAAAATTAGCCGGGCATGGTGGCGCATGCCTGTAGTCCCAGCTACTCGGGAGGCTGAGGCAGTAGGATTGCTGAGCCCAGGAGATTGAGGTTGCTGTGAGCTAGGCTGACACCACGGCACTCACTCTAGCCTGGGCAACAAAGTGAGACTCTGTCTCAAAAAAAAGAAAAAAGAAAATGAGTGTCTTGCCTTGGCACAATTGCCCCACCAGAGGAGAAGGACAAGGGTGGGCCCGAGCTCCCATCTTGGTCCTAGCCCACCTTAAACCTGCCCTGAGCTACTGCCATAACTGGGGGAGGAGGGAACACCCTACAAACCTGCCAATCAGAACTTAGCATGCCAACTGCAAAAGAATACAGAGGACTCTCAAGCCCACAGGCCAAGAGCATAGGTACAACAGAGTCCAAAAAATTGACCTAAAACAACCTGCATGCATAGTAAGACTCATGTCAGGCAACTCCCAACTGTCCAATCAAAGTGGTTCCAGGGTGACCTCTGAACCATGAGGGAGGTCCCAATCCGGGCACCATAACACAACACAGAAACCCTAACCAGGCCCTTTTTTGATCCCTTCCTTTTGCTCTCCCTTTGCTGGGACAGTGGGTCTGGTCGTCATCTGTGGCGTATGCATCACGCTCTGTAAACCCGTATCTTGCTCTATAATCCTATCTTTCTCTCGATAAACCTCATTTTCATGCTTGCCTTACCTTGTTGTGTCTGGCCATTTTTTGGCCATGAGCATGTCAAGAACCAACATTTCAGACTGAAACCTGACAGAGCCAGTGCACTCTAGCCTGGGCACAGAGTGAGACCCTGTCTCTAAAACAAACAAACAAACAAACAACCCTGCATGCTTTTATTACTACAAATATAGTTAGACCTTTCAAGGACAGGAACAATGTTTACAATAATACAATAACAATCCGCTATATTTAAGTCACATTGTTTCAATTCTCATAACATCAATGTTAGATATAATTATGTTAGGTAGACAGCAAGGGACCTATGGCCCCTCCTGGGGACAAAGGCAGGCACCCCAGCAATTGCTACATTTGGAGGAGGAGGGAAGGCCCTACGAATCTGCCAATCAGAATTTAGCATGGCCACTGCAAAAAAATGCAGAGGATTCTCTAGCCTGAGGGCCAAGCAGCACAAGTACAATGGGGTCTGAAAGGAAATCCAGAACAACCTAAGGGTTGTCCTTATCATGTCATTAGCTTAAATCTATATTGCAATTCACTTCCCATCCTCCCCTACAGTGGGCTTTCAGAGAGGTTCCTGGGAGATCCACATGCGTAGTAGGACTCAGGTTATATAACTCCTAATTGTCCATCAAAGTGGTTTGAAGGTGATGTCTGAACCACAAGGAGGGCCCAATCCAGACACTATAAAACAAGACCAAGACCATAACTAAGGCCTTTTTGTTACAACAAGGGGTCCATTTGTCGTCGTCTGTGGTGAACATATGTTGCTCTTGCTCTATAAACCTATATCTTGTGGCCGGGCGCGGTGGCTCACGCCTGTAATCCTAGCTCTCTGGGAGGCCGAGGCAGGCGGATTGCTCAAGGTGAGGAGTTTGAAACCAGCCTGAGCAAGGGTGAGACCTGTCTCTACTATAAATAGAAAGAAATTAATTGGCCAACTAACATACATATATAAAAAAAAAATTAGCCGGGCATGGTGGCGCATGCCTGTAGTCCCAGCTACTCGGGAGGCTGAGGCAGCAGGATTGCTTGAGCCCAGGAGTTTGAGGTTGCTGTGAGCTAGGCTGACGACATGGCACTTACCCTAGCCTGGGCAACAGAGTGAGACTGTCTCAAAAAATAAAATAAAATAAAAAAATAAAAATAAATAAACCTATATCTTGCTCTTGTTTTATAATCCTGTCTTTCTTCAATGTATCTTGCTTCAGGCCGGGCGCATTGGCTCACACCTGTAATCCTAGCACTCTGGGAGGCTGAGGTGGGAGGATCACTCAAGGTCAAGAGTTTGAGACCAGCCTGAGCAAGAGCAAGACACCGTCTCTACTAAAAATAGAAAGAAATTAATTGACCAACTAAAAACGTATATATAAAAAATTAGCCGGGCATGGTGGCGCATGCCTGTAGTCCCAGCTACTTGGGAGGCTGAGACCGAAGGATTGCTTGAGCCCAGGAGTTTGAGGTTGCTGTGAGGTAAGCTGACGCCACAGCACTCTAGCACAGGCAACAGAGTGAGACTCTGTCTCTAAATAAATAAATAAAAATAAACCTCGCTTCATGCTTGTAACTGGTCATTCTTCAGCCAAGAGCAGACCAAGAGCTGCATTTCAGACTGCTGGCTCAACATTTACATATAAATACTTTATAATGATAATATTCATTTTAATAATTTTCTGATTATGAGGATGATTACATTCTCACTATAAAAGTTCTGGAAAGAAACAAAAATAGAAATTAAAAATAGAAATTGTTATTTGTAAGGAAGACTACTTTGAACATTTTAATATACAGAGAGTATTTTTCTATGCATATATGTATATATTCTAAATTATATAGTCTATATTTTACTTAACACATTATCAGTGCCATTAAGATTTCTTCAAAAACCTAATTTTGGGCCAGGCACAGTGGCTCACTCCTGTAATCCCAGCACTTTGGGAAGCCAAGGCAAGAGGATCACTTGAGTAATTTGAGACCAGCATGGACAACATAGCAAGACCCCCATCTCTACCAAAAAAAACCACAAAACCTAATTTTTATGCCTGTTTTATTTTATTGTATCATACTTTATTTAATCATCCATTTTTATCCTCTGGACATTAAAATTATTTCCAAATTTTTCACCGCAATAAATTATGCTATGATAATTTGATGAATATCTTTGTAATTAAGTATTCAGTTGTAGTCTTAGATTATAGAACTACCTTTGTAAGAGTTCAAGATGGACTAATAATACACCCTTAAATTTCATCTAGTTGGCTTGACTTCCTCCTCCAAACCTCTTGAGACCACATTTAAACAAGTACTTTCAAAACATTTTATACATCTCCTTGAAGTCCCAAATGTTAAGTCTCTTGCCAGAAGCCAGCTCTTTATAACAGCAACTTGGCATTTCTAATATGTCCTCCTTTTAGCTCCTCTCAAACACTATGTTTCTTTTTATTTTATTTTGTTTGTTTGTTTGTTTTGAGACAGAGTCTCACTTTGTTTCCCAGGCTAGTGTGAGTGCCGTGGCATCAGCGTAGCTCACAGCAACCTCACACTCCTGGGCTCAAGCGATCCTCCTGCCTCAGCCTCCCGAGTAGCTGGGACTACAGGCATGCACCACCATGCCCGACTAATTTTTTGTATATATTTTTAGTTGGCCAATTAATTTCTTTCCATTTATAGTAGAGACGGGGGTCTCGCTCTTGCTCAGGCTGGTTTCGAACTCCTTAACTTGAGTAATCTGCCCGCCTCGGCCTCCCAGAGTGCTAGGATTGTAGGCATGAGCCATCGTGCCCGGCCTATGTTTCTTTTTAGACTGCTCCAAAAAGCTACTCACCAGTTCTCAAGTTCAGCACTTGGTTATTTTGCCTTCTGCAAAAGGAATGTGTGGCCACTATGAACTGAAGACAATTTTGGAGGTGAATAAAGAACTAGGGAAAAAAAATAATAAAGTTAGACTAGGCCTTTTCTCCCCCACTTCTTCATTATTGACAATGTTATTGCAATTAGCAGAGACAAACCTTAGGTGGAGCCAAAGGCTACTGAAGATATCCCCACAGCCATGGGGCCGGCCGGACCTCCTGGATATCCCAGAGTAGCTGGCTTGCCTCACCGCAGGAGCCGCCGGAACTCCAACTGTGAAGGGAGAGTGCCAGGGAACACCTGCTCCCACACAAAAAGAAAGAAAGGAAATGCCTTCTTCTCATGGCTTGTGGAATTGGGGAAATTATTGGAAACTACAGTAGCCAGTAAAGCATTACCAGAGACTTAAAAAGCAGACTCCCAAGAGAGGAGCTCCCAGGGAGAAGTAACATTATCCTAACTCTCATCTTGTCACTAAATCACACTCATTGTTCCCTCACTGCTGTGCATATCTTATCTTCCTTACTAGATCGGAGGCTGCTGGGAGAGCCTTTCACCCTTCTGAGACAACTTCAGCGACTCAGCAGGAAGCAATAAAGTTAACAATTGTTCAATAAATGAACAAACACTTAGCATCTTAGAGCAAATGAGTTTTGTCTTTGAGCAAACCAGCCGCATGGAAAAGAGTCCTAATAAGGAATGTTTGACATCCTCAGTTCCCTCTGCTGCCCCTGAGGGAAGATAACCAGGTCTGGATTCTGACTCCTGCCCCTCAGGTAATCCAACTAATAATAACCTTCAATTAAATGAGACCCCCCCCCCTTCATCTGTTATTAGGAAAAAAAATTCTGAGAAAATAGGGATTTTTATTTTTATTTATTTATTTTTTTGAGACAGAGTCTCACTCTGTTGCCCAGGCTGGAGTGCCGTGGTGTCAGCCTATCTCACAGCAACCTCAAACACCTGGGCTCAAGTGATCCCCTGCCTCAGCCTCCCGAGTAGCTGGGACTACAGGCATGCGCCACCATGCCCGGCTAATTTTTAAACTTTTTGTAGAGATGGGGCCTCTCTATGTTGCCGAGGCTGGTCTCCAACTCCTGGCCTCAAGCAATCCTCCTGCCTTAGCCTGCCAAAGTGCTAGAATTACAGGTGTAAGCCACCTCACTTGGCCTATATCATCATTAAAAAAAATTAATGGACAAAAAGCATCACAAGACATTGAAGTCCTTGTGAAAAGTGAGGTGAAAAGATGTGGTTGATACGTCTACTCTTTGCCTAAGTCTGGTTCTCTTCTCTTTGCTTGAATATGGGAGGCCTATACTTCCCAGCCCCTGTGCAATTAGCTGAGCCCTCATGACCAGCTCTCATCAAGGGGCAGTGAGTCAAAGCGCAGTAGATGACATCTGGTGCAAGTATTTCAGAGTGGATGTGAATTCTCCCGGATCTCTCTTTTCCTAAAATCACTGGGAACCCCCCTTGGCCTGGGTCCTTGAGTGACTATATGGAGCAGGTCCACCTCCCACCCATGTGCCCCCAATAACTCACATTGAACACATGGAATGAGAAATGAATATTTGTTGTACTGACATTCAATATACTATCACATTACCTTTCCTTTTCTAATACAATGAATAATGACCAAGTAACCATAATATCCAGAATATGTAAGCCTTGCAATTGAATTGAAAGGGCAAAATACTTACCATCTGTCTTACTGCAATGGGCCCTTGCTGGAAATTTCCACAACAAAAATCAGAATAATAATAGCTAATGCTGGCCAGGGCAGTGGCTCACACCTATAATCTTGGCACTCTGGGAGGCTGAGGCAGGAGAATCACTTGAGCCCAGGAGTTTGAGGTTGCAGTGAGCTATGGTGATGCCACTGCACTCTAGCTGGGGTGACAAAGTGAGACTCTGTTTCAAAAGAAAAAAAAAAGAAAAGCCAATGCTTATGTAAGGCTTCCTATGTATCCGGTATGTTCTAAGAGTTTTATATGTATAAACTCATTTAATCTTTCATTACAATTTTTTTTAATTCGCAGGCCATTAGAGTGGATGATTCTAGCATTTTGGGTTGCTACATAAGCAAACCAAAGCCCAGTGTAAACAGTAAAAGAAAACTTAAGCTTAACCAATCAGAAAACACCAAATAACCCCTAACTAGGGACATTCTACTTTAACCAAAGAACCCCTAACTAGGGACATTGTACTTTACTTTTCTTTGTCTTGCTTTTGTGAACAGTTTATAAAATTTTTCCCTCTTCCCACACTCCCAGTGGAGTGCTAAACTGTTTGCTCCCTATGCTGCCCAATTCATGAATCACTGAATGGTCAAATAAGCTCTTTAAATTTTTGATGTACCTAAGTTTCTCTTTTAACACCTTATAACAACCATATAAGTGAGCTGCATAAAACCATTTTATAAAAGAGGAAACTGAGGGCCAGAGAAATTAGGTAACTCACCCAAAGTAAGAAGTAAAGTTAGGATTGAAACTCAGACATCTGATTCTAAAGTCAGTCAGAGTTAGAGTACTCTTAATCATTATGGAATAAACATGCACTAAAAAGTCATCTCGCCAGGGGCACAGTGGCACACACCTGTAGTCCCAGCTACTCAGGAGGCTAAGGAGGATTGCTTGAGCCCAGGAGTTTGAGGCTGTAATATGCTATGATCACATCTGTGAATAACCACTGTACTCTAGGCTGGACAAGATAGCAAGACCCTGTCTCTTAAAAAAAAGTCATCTATATATACTCCATCAAAAATTCCTTGTTGCTATATTAAAAGTAACCACTAAGAAATGGAAGTGGAATAAACATTTTATTTGCAGTAGTGAAATAATTATAAATTATTTTTAAATAAGTTTAACAGTATGAGACTCATATAGAGAAAATGATACAATTTGTTTGAGGGGGACAAAATAAGATCTCAACATGTTCTTGGATGGGAGGATTTAGTATCACAAAAAAGTTAATTCTGTATTAGGACATATTCACACTAACAGTGGTTTAAACCACCTAGAAGCTTATTTTCCCCATGTAAAAGTCTGAGTAGGCAATTCAGGGCTGGTAAGGCGCTCCGCAATGCCAGAGACCCAGACTTCTTTTCCCTTAATGCTCTGCCATGTCTGTAACCAGCCAGCAGGAAAAGGGGTGGAGGGAGCCAAAGGGGAGAGCATGGTCTTTCCCTATAAGGACATGTCTGAGGTCAGTTCCCAGGGCAAGAGATTCTGAGACAGAGATTGACGGCAGGAAGTGATCTGGGGATCACTACCTGGGGAAGGAAGTATTGGACAAAAAGAGAAGATGAACTGCAATGCAGTTGCAAGGAAAGCCTCAGCCAATTCCATGAGGAGTTCTGGAGCTGTAATGGCCCTTTAGAGCTGATTCCCCTCAAGGTAAGGAGGCTGCCCCTGGGAAGAAGCAGCAATCTTAGGCAAGGTGGCTTTCCCCAGCTGATGGCAGTTCTTGGAGCAGGATGCAGCCGAACCAACAGCTGAGGGAATGAGCAGCGGTTCTGAAGGGTGCCCTGCAGCATTACTGCAGCAAGCCTGGGAAGTTGCAGCTGTCACTGCTACCAACATCTCACTGGCTAGAACTTAGTCCCATGGCTGCTAGCAGCTGCAAGTCAGGCTAGGAAATGAAGTCTTTCTTCTGGGGAGCTATGTGACCAGGCAAAACTTTTATTACTATGGAGGAAGGGGAGAATAAAGAGTAAAAGAGCAATAGTCGTTTCTGTAACATCTCTCAAAACTGATATCATTTTTAAAACACACACACACAAAAGAAAAAAAATTTAAAAAAGAAAAAGCTGATATCACTTTATCACAATTTATTTTCACAAAAATAATTCATTTTTTGTAGCTGGATTAATAGAACTTAAGGTCCATATATAAGAAAAAATGTTCAAGAACAGCTAAAGACACTATGAAAAAAATAATGTAGGGGGACATACTTACTCAGATGTTAAAATACCCCAAAAGCTACTGAAATTAGAACAACATGTCCTAGCATAGGAATAGACAAATAAATCATTGAAACAGAAATAGAGAATAGAGAAACAGAATAGAGAACTCAGATATAGATTCAAGACAGTACTGCTATCCACTTGGTTTGTAGCAGGTTTGCAGACGGCATCTGGGCTGACTTGTGTGTGCCCATGCTGATTTATGCTTATATTTTGCTTATATTTTGAATATACTCCTGGTCCCAGGGCATATAGTAATTAAGTACATGCAAATGTTGTACTTCAATTCAGTGGTTAAGGATGATTTATTTCACATATATAGCTGATATTGCTATATATTGGTAGAATTAAAAGTGAGACTGTTACTTTATACTATATAAGCAAATTTCAGATGGATTTGAGATATAAATGTAAAAACTGTAATAATGGAAATTTGGCCCTATAAAGTTTTAGTTAGATAGGAGGAATAAGTTCAAGAAATCTATTGTACATCATGGTGACTACAGTAAATAATAATGTACTGTATTCTTGAAAGATACTGACAGTAGATTTTAAATGTACTTACCACAAAAAATAAGTATGTGAGGTGATTTACATGTTAATTAGCTCAATTGAGTCATTCTACGATGTATACATATTTCAAAACATCCTGTACATGATAAATATATACAATTTAATTGTTAATTAAAAAAATAAAAAGAAATTTTACCCTAGGCATTGTAGAGATTTATTTTAGCAGGAAAACAAACAGTTGTAAAAGTAAAGGTAGATAACTACTCAAATATAAAAAATATAATAAGTGTGGGAAAAATACCACAAACAAATTCAATAGACAATTATACATTAGGAAAAATATTTCCAGTGCATGTGAAAAATAAAGGGTTAAGAGTTTTACTATATAAAAAGGTAAGAAAAAAGATAACCTGATAGAAAATGAACAAAGGATATAAATGGGCAATTCATGTAACAGCAAATCCAAGATGGCCACTAAACATAGAAAAAGATGCCAAAATGACTAATCTCATGAGGAATCAGAGGATTGCAAATGAAACTAACAAAGAAGATATCCCTATACAGACATCAGATTGGCAAAAGTGAGAAAGAGGGATAACAATAGCTATTGCTTTCAGGAATATGTGGAAAAGGCCATTCTCACACATTGCTAGTGGAAATGTGAATTGTTTCAGTATTTTGGAAAGCTAAATTAAAATTTAAAAAAATATATACTCTGCTTAGCAATCCTTGTCATAGGAGGAGTTTTCCCATTTTCATAAAAGCATCAGTATTAAAGGATATACATAGAAAGATGTTTATTACATCCTTGTTTGCCTTGGGGAAAAAACCTTAAAAATTAGGTATTAGGTAGAAAAATAATTAAATAAATTTAATTATGGCTCATGCATATAATAGAAAAATTATGCAGCCATTAAAAATAATGAGTTAGGGCTGGGCGTGGTGGCTCATGCCTGTAATACTAGCACTCTGGAAGGCTGAGGCAGGAGGATCACTTGAGGCCAGGAGTTCAAGACCAGCCTGTGCAACAGTGAAAGCAAGCATGAGACCCTGTCTCTAGTAAAAATAGAAAAAAAAAAGCTAGTCAGCTGACTAAAAATAGAATAAATTAACTGGGGGTGATGGCTTGTACCTGTAGTCCCAGCTACTTGGGAGGCTGAGGCAGGAGGATCGCTTGAGCCCAGAATTTGAGGTTGCTGTGAGCTAGGCTGATGCCATGGTACTCTAGCTGGGCAACAAAACAACCTATCTCAAAAATAAAAAATAAATGAATAAATAAATATTTAGGTAATATTGAATAATCTCCTAATGTATTGAAATTTGATTTAAAACAATAAAAATATGTAAATATCTTTACAATTTTCTTTCCAGTTTTCTAGCTTAGATAATAAAATGTAGCAAACCTCAGTTTATCTAAGTTTCTGTTATTGAGAGAGAAAACTTTTACTGTGATTCAAAAGAACAAAATTTGTTAAAAGATTTATTTTTTTTTTATACTTTTAATAAAATCCTTTAAGTTCCTTTCTGAAATGGCCCACACTCTGATCCTCTGAGATCTGCTATTTTATGGTTTTCTTCCTCTACTCTGCTTCCTTAAATTTGAATTAACTTTGTGGTTATCAACTTACTATGACAAACTTATTATTAGAGCACTTCGTCTCTCTGCGGCCTCAACACAGAATTTACAGTGTTTTCAGTTATTTCCTTGTGAGTCCTTTCATATGTTTATGCAACTCCTTTTAAACAAGTGAAAAGCTGTTTATAAAAGAAAAGCTGAGTTGTAACCCTGAAAGGAACTCTACCCGTCACACTAAAAAGTGGTATTATGAGGAAAGGACAGTTAGCAGTGTGAGCACCATCAGAATAAACTGTGAATGATTACACACAGAGAGATAGGGCACTGTTTCAAACAGCATAACTGGACACATACACCACGTTTTTCTCTTTTCCGACTCCCCTGGGCTTCTACATTCCAGCTCTCTTACCATTGTCTACCCACCCAGTCTTTCTCTTCTTTCTCCGATTGAAACATCTTCATGGTCTTTTTGAGTATTATGTTCCAGTAACCTTTCTTTCCTTTCACAATGACAGGCTTATTGGTATCTAGTTTTAATAAATATATCCTCTCTTCAGTGACCAGGGATTTTTAAAAGCAAAAAGTATAGACCCAGCAGAATTTCAGGAACATTCTCTGGTCCCAGAGTAAGATGTGTTAGCATCGAGCTCCGGGTCAGGTCAGCTGTACAGTCCAAGCACTGCAGAATGCTAGGCAGCTCTCTTCCTCCTCAGGCTGGAAGCTTTGCTTTGTTATGGGTTGTGGGTAGGGCAC